GTACCCAGGGACTGGAGCAGCCGTATTGGATCTCCTCAGTGGCTGCCATGCTGAACAGTGACGTTGTAGCTACAGGTGCCTCGCGCTGTGAGACCCTCGCTTTTGCTGTTGCTCTGGGCTGGGGGCTATGCAGGGGGGGTGGGGTCAGGGGAAGGATATCCCCCCCACCCCCCCATTTAAGGGCCAGTTTGGAGTTGAGAGACCCAAGATTTTCCTTTGGCCTTGGGCAGAGTGCTGTGCTGTGCCGTGCCATGCCATGCCGTGCCATGCCATGCTATCCTCTTGCTCTCTGTAAAGCTGGAACAGTGTTGGTCTGGCAGGGGGGGAGGGTGCTGAGTAGCAGCTTATGAAATGCTCTGGGGTCACTGCATGTCAGATGTCATTGGGGAATGTATCTAGTGTCCTAATCTCTCAGGGCTCCAAGTATGGCTCTGCTTTCCTGGGCTTGTATCTCCCAATCAGCCCCAGGGTGCCTGCAGAGCAACAGACTGTGCCTGCTCTTCTACATGTGCCATGGGGTCTGGCAAGAAGAGGTGGCATGATCTAGTTGGGGCTGCTCCTGGTTTTGAGGAGGGGGTAGACTAGATGACCTCCTGAGGTCCCTTCCAACCATAACTTTCTATGATTAGCTTGACACAGGCTCCCACCTGCCTAACACAGCTTGGTTGTACCCGAACTGTTTTGAGCCTGGGCAGACCAAAATGTCAGTCAGTAAATAGCCAAATTCAACAGGCTTCTAAAAGGAGGCACCTGAGAGCAGCAGTGTGGGGGCAAAGTTATGAGTTGGAGGAGAAGGCGCTTCCTTATTGTTCCCTCTTTCCTGTAAGGAAAACAGGCCCTCTTAGCTCTTGCCTAGGTTCTGAGAGGACACCCTCCCCGCTGTTGGGCTCAGCTACTTCTCAGCCAGTCCCTGATCCTTGCTTGGGGGTTAGCTAGGCTAGCTAGGTCATCAGTGCTTCTGGGCCACAGTCCTAGTTTAGAAGCTAACTGATGAGTGAAGAAATATTCCCCACCCCTGTGAGAGAGGAGTGATGGGAGCAGGCTGGGAGGAGAATATGAAAAGAAGAGGGCAGTAAGCTTGAGTTGGCCTCAGATGCATGACACACAGGAACTGACTGGTGAGCTCTGAACAGGGATGTGATCCCTCTTGGGTGGTGGGGAAAGTTTCTGGTGATACCAGCAGGGCCTCTACAGAGACAGGGTGTGATGACCTGTCATTTCTATGTGTTGCTTCACCCAGTTCCCCTCTTCCAGCTATGTGTGTCCACTTGCTATTGATTTTGTACAGGGCTGCATTCATCCTGATGCCCAGACGGGTCCCAGTGCCTGCCCAGCAGCTCCTGTTCATGCTGCGAGGGGAGGGGGCCCTGAGGCTTGTGGGGTGCTGTTTGTGGATACTGTCAGTGTCCCAGGCCCTCTATAAGCAGGAGATGGGTGTAGTCTGAGAAGGCAGGTGCCTCAGTGAGGAAGGGCCCAGCCAGAACCAGAGGGGCTGCTGGGGGTGCCCTGTGTAGCCCTGTGCAGTCCTCGTCTGCCACTCTGTCACAGGCTCATGCAGCGCCAGTGTGAGGCTGTGGAAGTGCAACGAGGGATTCCGCAAGCTGGAGCTGCTCTTCGACATCCCCCTGGTAAGGAAAAGGCGTGGGCATGCTGGTGCCAAGGGTCCATCTGGCCTGGCAAGGGAGCGGAAAGAGCATACAGGAAGGGAAGGTCCTTCATACCTAGGTTCCCCATCTCCAGACAAGTGTGGGGCAAGGGGGGGCAGGTGTTACTGAGCACAGGAATGTGTCCAGAGAGGCTCCCTCCTACTTCATGCCTGAAGCCTTCAAAGCACCCCAGGGGAGCTGCAAAGACTCCTTACATGCCAGACTGGGATAGCATTACCGACTGGGCACCAACCACCACAGCTGATCAATAGTCCTAGCCTATAGTGGCCCTTGCCTTTTGGAGCTTATCCTCAGGGCATTTCTCTCTTTCAGGTGGGCTTTGTCAACAGCTTGAAGTTCTCAAATGCAGGGGACTTCCTGGTGGCTGGAATCGGGCAGGAGCACAGGTACTGGCTGCCTTCGTGCCCTTAGGGCAGTTGTTCTCCACCTTCTCAGTCAGGGCACCCTCCACAAGTGCTGGGCTGCTTCAGCTTACCTCTGTGCTTCTCAGCTGGGGTGCTGCCACATGTTCCTGCCTCTCTAAGACTTGTCTGATGAGTATAAAGCAGGCAAGAGCAGAGTAATGAGCAGAGATCCTGGTTTTCTCCTTGTCCCCTTCAGTGCACCTCTTTCCAGGAGAAGCATGTGGACTCAGATCAGGCTCCAGCTGCAGCTGCTTCCCAGCCTGCCTCTGTAGGAGGCAGGTGGGGCACTTCAACCTGGCCCCAGCATTACCCACACTGCAGCACCCCTGGAAAGGGTTTCAGCATGGTCTCCCCATAGGTCATGGCCTGCAGGAGCCTTTCTGGCAAAAAGGCAGTTGGATTTGACTTTTCTATTAGGCTTTTAGACTTGTCTCAGCAGCAACATAAGTTCAGTGATATACTGGAATGGGGGGAAACCTTCAGGGTAAAGGATGCAGGTAGCAGGGGGTGGAAAATGAACCTCTTCTAGCCTTCCTGCCAGCTGACCTGTTCCTCCAAAGGAGTGGCTAGAAGGCTAGAGAAATATCCTGTGTAGTGCTGCAAGCCCCAACCACGCTGCCAGGGCAAAAAGGTTCTAGTCTAGCCTTTCCAGCGATGGGTGTTTGTGAGCTGGTTGAGGGGAGAAAGTTCTTGTTTCTACTTCCGCTTGTGGATTGGAGATGGCACCTTTTGGATGCCTGGGAGTCCGCACAGCTCCTCACAATCTGCTGGGGGGAACCTGTTTAAACTGCAACACCCAGGCCCTTGGTGGGTGGGGGTTAGCATTGGCAGCGAGTGGTGTCTTGGGACTTCTGCCTGGCATGTTCCTGGGGTGGTGAAACGCAAACTCAGGGTATCTCTCATTCAGGTTGGGCCGCTGGTGGCGAATCAAAGAAGCCAAGAACAGCATCTGTATCATCCCCCTGAAGAGGATGGCAGCAGCTAGCAGTGCTCAGATTGGTGAAAGCTCCTAACCCAGAACTCCCTCCTGCCTCTGTCTGCACAGTTCTGTTACAGCTGGAACTTTGGGATAGAGACTTCTAAGTTCGTTTTTTCATTAAACCATCCCCTTATTTGTATGGCCGGCTGTCTCTGTCTCGCTGTCCATCCTACTTGCCAGAACCTAGGTGGCATTTGCTTGTGTTGATTGTACACTGGGCGTGGGAGGCAAGTGACAGCATTTGGAATGGAGGAGAACATCAGGCCGCCTCCGTTCTTGCCTACCCCTCCTGCAGCTGCCTGCTCACTCCTACACACAAAAAAGAAAGTGCAGCTGCCAGACCTGTTCACAACAGTTATGGGCAGAGAGATCTTCTGTGTCTATGGGGAGCACTGTGCCATGACAGCCTTGCTTTGGCCCCTTTCCTTTCTGGCCTCCAGCTGTGCCGTACCTCATCTCTGAGGGAAAAAGTCCTCTAACCAGGTATCTGCTGCTAACATGGTGGAGCCCTTCCTCACAGCAGGGCTGGGATCATCCAGTGGAGGCTGAGGGGAGATTAAAGGGAGCAGCACAGGGTTGGGATTTATGGCAGAGATGTCATGAAGAACTTGCTTCCTGCCTACGGAAGGTGGAGCTGTCTGGGAGTTTTGGCCCCTCTTGCTTGTCCTTGGCAGGGGATAACTCTTTGAGCAAAGTTAGTCAAGCTTGGCTTTTACTGAGGACATCATCATGCCATAAGGGAGGAGCTGGAACTTGCACCAAATTGAATGTCTTGGTGTTATGTAAATAAGCAGTGTTCCTTAGGCTTGAGATCAGTCTCGGGCAGTGCGTGGGCTGAGGGACAGGGCACCTAGTACCCTCTGCTGCCTTGTCTTCCCACAGCAACAGACCTCTGACCAGTCTGGTCTCAGCAGTATGACTTGACCTGTCTTCCTGTGCTCAGTTTGCTTTAGGAGATGTGCATGACTTAACAGTAGGTGAGTTGGTCAAGTACTGCTGTACTTGAGCCATGTAGCACAAAGGTGACCATAGACCCCTTTCAGCATTTAGGCTCTTGTACAGAGTGCTGCTGCATTTGTTTCTGCCTGGCTCTGGTCTCTGAGCCTAGAGCTCTGCAGTAGGAGAGGGACTTGCACCCTTGGATGATGCATTGGTCTACTTTTTAAAAAAGCTAAACCAGAGAAGTGGGGGTCTCAGAAATAGGTGCCCAGTGTTGAAATGCTGACCTGCAGGAGGGTGACTTTTCTCTCACTTCAGCAACAGCTAATAGCTGCTTGTTTATTCGTGGCTTCAGGGAGGCTGAGGCTGGCTACCAGCAGCACTGGCTTTAGTCGGTTTTGTTGCCAGCCCCTCCAAGATTTGCCCAGTCTCTTGGTCACAGTGAGTATCTCCTGTGCTGGTGAACTGTCAGCAAGCCAAGCCCTTGGCATAAATCCCCAACTGAACTTTGTGAGCATACATACTGGGTGCCAGGAGAAAGAAGAACAGTTGTTAAGTCAGACCCCTTTGTGGCTGCTGTTGCCATTTAGCACCTTTTCATCACTTAGGAAGGATGACACTGACCAATTTTAGAGATGGGGAAAACGGGCACAGAAGGGGAGTGATGGGGCCAATGTCACCCACTTGCCCCTCTGTAGATACTACTGAACAGGCACCGGCTTGTTACTGACCAGGCATTGACTGGAGCCAGGGACATAACTGCTTTATGATTCCTGTATGACCGTGGCATCTTGAGGTGCCACTTGAGCATGGCACCGTCAATACATTGAGCAGCTTACGTTCTAAGTAGCAAAGTACATAAATGATATTCTCATTTTACTGGGGGGGAGAGGAGGGCTGTCTACTGCTGAAGGTTGCTTATAGCTGTTTGTAGAAGAGCAGAGTCCCATGAGCCACCCAGCCCCTCTGGTTAAGAGCTCACATTCCCATGCTCCCCCTCCCCTTGCTTTACACAGAGACTCTATCAAGGCCTCCTGGCTGCTGCAAAGGATTAAATTAAAAAAAATGCACTTTATTTACATAAATTACAAAAATCACAAACTTGTTCACAAAAAATCTACTCTTAAAAACTGGCATCATTGGAAATACATGGATCACACTGAGAGCTCTAGCTGAGGTTCAAACAAAACTCACCATTTCTCCTGCAGCCTACAGCATGGGAATTTGCTCTTGTCTGAAAAGCTGCTTCCAAGAAATAGCTTATAAAAATTAAAAAACACCAAGAGATAGATATAGAATTATATTCCCCAGCCCAGTCTGTCATTTGGTTTTCAGTATTTCCTACTGACCCCTTGGAGCAGCAGGAGTGATGAGCAATGAACAACAGCAGGGGTTGTTCAGTGACATGGAGTAGTGCGCTGATTCTGGGGCTGTTCAGTACGTTGCAGCACATGCCTAGATAGCAGCTGCACTAGCGGTGTTGGTGCTGCTCTGCTGTTCACTACCCTCCTTTCCTCTCCATTAGAAGTACAAAGGTGGCAGAAACCCCAGGGTGGCAATGCTCAACTGCTGCATTTCTTAGAGGTCTGTTGGATGCAGGCAGATCCTGTGGTGCCTCCTCATTCTCTGGTTGCTTACCTTGAGATAGGATATGGGGCTGTGAATTCAACGTGGCCCCTTTGTGTGGTGGTACCACTCAGCCCTTCCTACCCAAGAGAATCAGTACAATGGCTAAGGTGAGCCTGCTGTCCTGGAGGAAAATGCTGTGGAAAGGAGGTGTTAGCAGAATAGCGCGACATTGGCACTGGCAGTGTGTCTGAGCTCAGGACACTGGCTTTCTAGTGCTTAGTACCAGCGTCCTGGGGCTAGTGGGAGAACAGGTATAACTGGCAGAAGCCTCCTCAAAGGCATCAGATGCACTTTTGCTTAATTCCTCTGGATTAAATATGTTGATATATATAGATACTGAGTTTTCCAAGCAGCTAATGATGTAGTTTGGGACAGGAAACGTAGTTCAGCTTCTGAATACATTCAAAAGGCAAAAGACTGGTGGCTGTTATATTAATACACTAAGTAGCTTGCGTCTCATGCGACAGTTACCCCTGTGTTTTATAACTACTGTGTTTCTTTTCCTGCTTCAACTTTCTATGCCAATGGGCAAGATAGTTGCTTCTTGTGTTATTGCCACAGACATACCATGGAGTTGAAATCAAACTGCTTAACACAGTGCAGTAAAGATTTTCCTATGTCCCCCTGCTGATCCTTGTATCCTGCAAATCCCATTGCCCTGTCTTTCCACAGGCTGTTGCTCCCTGTGTTTGACAGATGCACACAGACAACAGGAAAATGTCCAACCAGGAAAAAAAAATACAAAACCCTGGACCTCTGTGCAAGCTGCTGTACAAAAGAAACATCAAGGTGGTTGCCCTACAGCAGGGCTGTCTCACTGGCAGCCCATGGGCTGCATGTGGCTTGGCCTGGGAGGGGTTAAGCTGTGGCCCCTAGGCTCCTTCCCAGCTACCACTCCCTCTGTGCTCCCCCTTCTTGTGATTTATGTGGTCTGTCCCTGCCCCAGGGGGTGGGAGTGTGGCCTGGGGAGCTGAGGGTGAGCCTGGGACCATGTGTTTGGTGCAGCAGAAGCGGGGTGGAGGGAAGGGAGAGGTCTGCACAGCATACAACCCAGGGCAGGGGCCATGGCTTACCCTGGTGTGGCCCTCAGTCACTTAGAAGTTGGACAGTGCTGCCCTATAGTAAGCTTTGGAGCTATTTGTAACCATAATAAGTAAAATAATTCAGTGTGAAATTAATGTCTCTTTAAGGTTTTTTTTCTTTTATTCTTATATCTTGTACTCTGTAAAGAAGCCCTGGAAGGATTGCTTTTCTATTAAAAAAAATTAACATCCTTGTTTGGTTTTAGCCCCAATATCTCTACTATAGATATACTAGAGTATATCAGACTATAGATATACTAGAAGAAAATGAATGATGAGTAATCAGCATTAATAATCTTGGTATCCCTGTTTTGGCTAACCACCTTGAAGGATTACAGACTGCACATAGGGGCTTTCTTAGCCCTCAGTGGAGAGGGAATCAGATATGGCACCTTTAGAAAGACAGTTTTTCTCCCTCGTGTGTGCCAGGTGTCAGAATCCATTGGTCATTTACACTATAAAAAAGCAAAAGCTCTTTAAAATGCTGTTAAAAATCCTTCTACCTCTTTCAATCTTATGACGTCTTCAGTGTTCAGTCCTAGAGCAAGCACAGGGGGGTATCAAGACCTACGGGTAATACTTTGAACAGGGAAAGTGGGCAAAAAAAGCAAAGCATTATTTTTTAAATGCCTTTCAGGCCTAATTTAGCCACTGGGCAGGAAGGAAGCAATTGGCGATGGAAAACAAAGAGATTGAAAAGCTCTGAGCAGCTTTCTTAGAAATGAACAGAATGGAGGCTTCCTGCCCTTCCTCTGCTGGCTCTTGGACGATAAAAGGGCCAAGAGGAACGCAGAGAGGGAGGGAAGCAGATTAGCCATCTTTCCTCTGATGGCATCTTGGAGCTGCTTAGAGAGCTTGGGGTAGGAAGGTTCACTGCAGTTTTCCTCTCTGCACAAACACCTGCTCTCCCTGCTCATGCTGCTTCCTTCATGGCAGAAGCTCTGGTTGGGGTTCACTGGGGCTGTTTTGATCGCTGCAGCCTCCCTGCCCTCCCCCGTTCAAAACTGGGCTGGTTGGTTTTGAAGCAAGTAGTGACTCGTGGGGTCCAGCTTTGAGGCCCCCTTTGCCAATATACAAGGTGCAGAAGCAATCTGTACGGTGCTTTCTGTTGCAGATGGGAGCAAAGAGCAGGGAGGGTGCCTAGGGGATCTGGCCTGCTGCCTGGTTTGAACATACCCAGGGGAGCAAAGGATCAGCAGGGGACAAAGCAGTGAGGAGCAGGGAGTGTGCCCAGCGGGTCTGGCACAGCATGAATCCTATTATCAGGTACAAAGGAAGCAGCAGACCTTGCTTGCTGCCTCCTACATTGCCTAGGAGCAGCAACCCATACCCACCTTTCCTTGCCCCTGTCCAGGGGGAGCAGGAGGCAGTGCTCCCCTCCTCCTGTACCTGCCCAGATGTCTTGTCCTGCCCACTTCCCTCTCTGTGGGATTTGTTTCACCCTGTTTCTTAATCTTCCCCTCTCTCAGCCCTTCTGCCAGGCTCCTGAA